GGCAGATGGTTGACGGGCGTTTTGCCTGTGTGCTTTGTGAGTCACCACTCCATCGAGGGGAGCTGATTGGAATTTTAGTCGGGCAGTCAGTCTGACGATTCTCCTTCTTCCTCACCGAGTAAACTCAGCGTCGGGCTATCTCCGTGCGGCCTTCTTAAGTCCGGTGTGGTTGTTTGGTCCTGAACTCTACGATTGTGATGACGTAGGACTTTGAAGCATTTTGTCCCCGGTACGAAGCTGAAGTAGGCAAGAACGGCAGGATTTATTGGCACCAAAAAATTTCGCGACTGCTCTTCAGCTGCTTCCTGTCGCTTCATAAGAGGGATAACGAGTGAGAACAATACAACAGATTTGAATTCATGCAGAAAATCGATGCAGAAACAACAAGGTTAGGGTTTTGGGCAAAGTTGGCTAATCGATAAAGTTAGTAACACAAACGCCGTAGGGGAAGAAAGTGAAAATACTATCAAACGACGGCTACGTTCTGCCATTGAAAGGACATACAATGCAGCCGAACTAGTATTTTGCAGTCCTACTAAGCCACTTCCGATTCCACGGGCAAAGGATGCCCTGCCAATGCACGCCACGTCAAATTGTGTTTATGAATTCACATGCACTTGCGGATGCAAGTACATTGGGCGAACGCAAAGGCAGTTGGCAGCCAGATCCATTGAGCACCTGCCCAAGTGGCTCCTTAGACAAGAAAATAAGATCCCGCGTTCATCCATTACAAAACACCTACTTGATACTGGTCACACCGTCGACCCCAAAACTTCCTTCCGAGTACTTGTTCGGGCACGAACAACTCGGACATTGCGTTACCTGGAGGCAGCCTATATACGAAGAGTGAAACCAGATCTTTGTAAACAATTGGAGAACGTGGTTAACCTAACATTACCATGGTAGCCTCTGGCTCCATGATTCCCCCTCTCTCCTCTCATTTTTGCTCTTTAACGTTTACTCCTTTTTTCACTTTCTTCCCCTACGGCGTTTGTGTTACTAACTTTATCGATTAGCCAACTTTGCCCAAAACCCTAACCTTGTTGTTTCTGCATCGATTTTCTGCATGAATTCAAACCTGTTGTATTGTTCTCACTCGTTATCCCTCTTATGAAGCGACAGGAAGCAGCTGAATAGCGGTCGCGAAATTTTTTGGTGCCAATAAATCCTGCCGTTCTTGCCTACTTCAGCCACGTAGGACTTTGTAAGCTGCAGAAAGGTCCAAAGGCCTGTTGATAGAGTGGGCATCGAAGAACCACGCCTCGAGAGTTAGCCGTTCTGCTTTTGTGTTGCCTCGGGCTAAGATAGTAGCCCCCTGGAGGTCAAAAGTATGCTCTGTTTCTCCAACGTTTGTTGCTAGTTGAGAGTTAGGGTCTAACCTCCGAGTGGCCGATTTGTGTTCTTGTAGGCGAGTTTGCAACTTCCGCCCGGTTTCGCCCACATAGTTGCAGTCGCCCTCATTGCAATTTATTTTGTAGATGACTGCTGATGTTTCAGCGGGGGGCAATGGGTCCTTAGGCTGCATTACGCGACGTCGAATTGCTGCTTGTGGTCGATGGGCTATGCCTACTCTGGTGGGATGTAACAGTCGCGAGACCGCTTCAGAGACCCCCTTAACGTAAGGAATGACCCTCCAGACTTCGGGTTGCTGCCCATTTGGCCGTCGTCTGGGCGCCCAACGTCTGCTTCTCTCGGTGAAATACCTGGGATAACCATTGGCTGCAAATAGGTTCACAAGTTACAATCGTTCTGGCGTGCTGCAGTGTGTTTCGACCCTTTGGAATAGAGTGCGGACACAACTACGTCAGCACTTAAATAAACCTGTTCCGGACAGCCTATCTTCATCTTCAAATAATTAACCCGGATATCTTAACTTTGCCAATCTGAGTACTGACATTTTAATCAAATTCGTCCATTGGGCGCGGCGATAGGTAGGGCGCTGTTTTAACCTGCACAGCGGACCTGCTGAGACAGAACTGCATGGCATTTACCTCATCCCACCCACAAAAAAGCTAAGACGGCCGGAGAGGAACGTGGGTGCAGCAGCTGGCGGAGATAAGCAGCCCACCTACGCGTACCAAACACAACCTAATCTCCAAATCTACACGTCCCAGACTTGGTTCAGGAGACCTCGGAGGACACTGCGACCTGACATCCGATGTCTTAGCAGGAGCGAGTAATAACCATCCAAGCAATGACTGTTATAGTAGCATTGAAATTTTGTTAGGAATGTTCACATCCCCAAAGTCACCCAGTCCCATTGGGGAACGCGCAAGCGCGTCATCTCGGCCGCGTGTTGCCCGCACGCAGCAAAAGTGTTTTCGACGGCGTCCCGCTACTAGTTGCGACTGCAGTGTTTCCTTGGGATAAGTTTTTTGGCTGTTCTAGTCCTTTCTTCTTGAAGTTGATTGGGAATTATAGCAAACCTGAACAGGATGCAATCGATACACACAGATTTTCATTGAAAATGACTTGCATGTAACAATACATTTTGTCGTGGTTGGCCGTGTTTCGCTTGTCTGTCGTGTTGGTGGTTTTGGGCTACGACTGAGTGCGCATACGGTTGGCGGTATTGCCACGTACCAGGACAGGCCCCCTGTGCTCGGGGCTGGAGTGTGAGCTTTTATTCTTCTGGCGACCGAACAGATAATTTATAACGAAACGGTGATGCATCAGTCCGATTGGCGTCTCGGGAGAAATAGTGTCGTCCTTGGGATCACAGAGGCATGACCACTTGTTAGGTTCAAAGGCGGCCGAACAAACGACTACGGACGCAGGTCAACAGACGCAGCGGTTGCTTCAGATCTATTAATACCCTCTTCGTCCGGCTATAAAAGCCGGTCCCTTGTGCTCGGACCAGGAGTGTGTACGCACGCGTAGGCGGATCGTCTAACTCCATCGGTCACTGCGTCCGACCTCACCTACGGTCTTCTCGGCATGGAGCCCGGGAGCGTGAAGAGAAAGACAGACTGCGGTAGGTGCTGCGCAAGTCTACTATTGTAGCAGCCGCTCCAGCCCCCCCTTTTCTCCATCTCCGTTTTGTCCGTCGATGGCCGCGACAAGCACTGACAGGCCGCTGACACACGACCACCCCCTGCCGGCTAGAACTGGGCACCTCCTGTCCAGCTGCAGTGACCCCCGGCTGCACTCACAAACTAGTATCACCTAACGCGCGTCGAACGCTTTGGCTTGATTCCCGTGAGGCCTTGTGAGTATGCGCCCTCCATTCCTCCCCTAATTTGTCCAATCACACGACTACCACTCAGACAGTCATTCCCCCCTTCCTGCTGACCCAGACACACATGCCCGCGTAAAGACACACCGCGACTGACGCGCTCCGTGAACGGACGCTTTTCTCTGTTGCAAGTAAACCGCCAACTTACGGCAACCTGCCCTGTGTACAGAATAAACTAGTCCTCACAGCTCCCTGACTTCTGACTGTAGACGAAACGAACTTATTGTGCGTGGTTTAAGTTGTTCTCACATCCTTGACCGCCACACTATTACTATAAACTAACTTCGACACAAGTCCCCGTCTCTGCGAACACCCAGCTGCGGGGCACACGGTCGGAATCGACGGCCGCACTGTCGTCTGGCTGAAACTTCACCTGCAAATGCACGCAAAGCGCGTGGTCCGTCAAGCCTGATATCGTCGACGTGGTCGCCTTGTCTACTGTCCTCTGTTCCCGCCTGATGTCATCCCGAAGCACAGTGCGTCTGATTCAACTTGCGAAGTGCGTGCGCTGTGCGCATCTGTTCGCGTAGGGTGTTGGTCTGGGGCGAGGCCGGTGGGAATAAGGTCGAAAGAGCGGCTGACTCAATCTTGCCGGTCCCTGCCGGCCTGATCCCGGGAGATGGCCCTCTCTCTCTGGTTGCCGTGCGCAGACGACCTTCGTGAGTGTAGCCCACGCTCCAGATGATGATGCTGCGATAGATAACTACGCAGTCAACAGTAGCGTCAGCTAAATCCATGCTGCTGTACAAGACCGCAGGAATGCTGT